CTGATCGAATTGAGTAATCTCCTCCTTTTTCGAAGTCGGTTAAAAATTAGATTCTAAACCCTTAGTTAAGAATCAAGAATCAAGAATTAGAATTGAATTAAATTATTAAACTTAGGAAATTAAAGCGACAAATGGTGCTGTATAAGGGACAGGGAACGGTGAAAGAAAGGCTGGGGAACGACTATAAACAAGGCAAAAAGCAGCAGAAACATAATGGGGAGCTAGTTAGAGAAAGCAGGCGTAATCATAAATACATAAATACATAAACAGCGTTGGTTAACACAAGAAGGTCAGGACAACATGTGGCCGACAGACGACGAGAAACCAAGGAACGACAAGTCAGCGGACAATAGGGACAATCAATGGATACGGGACAGCAGGCACGCAGATGGTGTCTCGTGCTTTAGCAGCTAATAAAACGGTAAAACAGTGAAAACAAGATAGACCTAAACATGGTCAACAGTTAGCTGGCCCGCTCAGGAGGTAAGGACGCAGTGGTGCAATAAAGAACAACAGGACTGCGCGACGAAACTATAGGCAACTGGGACAGGTAGAGAACGGTGAATAAGGAAGGAAACGGCGGAGAGAGAACGACTGATAGGAAAGAGACAACGCAAAGCTCCCGAAAGGCGGGGCAAAAGAAGACGCCATCACAGAGAAAGGTGGGAACAAGAAGAACAGAGGGAGCAAGGACGAATCAGAAGAGGATACTCAGCCTATAGGAGGACAAATGGAGAAGGAAGGAAGGCGAGTGGCAGGAGATACCAGTAGGGGGGACTTTCGAGAGACCAACAGGAGAGACGACCAACATGGTACCGCCCAAGGAAATGGCGATATAGAGAGAGCGAAGGCGGTGAAAAGGCGAGGACACCTGCGGGTAAAGAAACGGGAGACGATGAAATAAGTTAAACAGAAATGCAGAAGGGGAACTGTAGCAATAATTGGCAGGGAAGCGGGGAAATTAAATTAAGTTAGACATAAATGTACAATGCTTCAACTGACGGATGCCCATTTATTTACTTATTTACTGATTTATTTATATATTTACCTACTTTCTTATTTATTTACTTACTATTTATCTATCTATTTACTCACTATTTATGTGCTATCTATTTATTTATTTATTTATTTATTTATACATTCACTCATTTATACATTTATTCTCTCATTGGCTTAATGATCTATTTATTTATTTACACAATTATACAATTATATACAATTGTATTCAATATTACTTCATGTATCATTTTATCATTTTGCCATACTTTATACACTTTAGGTACCTAAGACAAACAACACTTGAACACTGTAGCATCCACAACCTCAATCCCAAGCAACTTCAAACACCTGCAAGCATTTAAACGCTTTAAACATTCCAAAGGATCTAGGTCAGACTGCGGTATTAGCACAATAACCTAACGCGAGAGCGACACCTAAACAAACAAACTAAACAAATTAAACAAACAAATAAAGATCAAACAACAAATCTCAAATTAAGCAAGTTTCAATAGGTAAAGCAGAATTAGGTAACTGAGCGCTCAAGGGGCAGGACAGTCAAAGTGAGCAATAGGAAATTAGGCTAACTCAATTAAAGAATAATCAAGTAATTAACTTAGTCTAGCTAAATAATTAATTAATTAATAATTGAGTAACTAATTAAGTGATTAACTCATTATCTGATTAATCAAATAAAAAGCGGACAACATGGGGTTGGCGAACAACCGGTTAACTTGATAAAAACGGGTAGTAACCTAAGAGGGGGTGGGAGGCAGGCATTGCATTGCAATGAAATTAATGCAATTAATGCAATTAATGCAATTAATAAAATTCATTGCAAATTTCTGAATGATTTATTGCAATTTGCAATTTATCGAAATTTACTAAATAATTTAGCGGATATTTAATACTGCGATCCAGAGCGGGGAAAGACAGGGACGTAGTGCGATTTGCACTTTGGCTCGCAGTGAAAGTGAAATTTACCCGTAGCGGGAGTATTCGAAGGCAGGGGACGGCGAAGCTAGAACTCGAAGCTAGAACACGAAGACAACAACAGGATAGCAACAGTACAAACAAAATAAGCATTATAAACAGCACAAAACACAAGGCAACAAGTTAAATTATAAGACAAGAAGTAGGAATAAGAAGTGAAGCTATAAGACAAGACGTAAGAAGTTAGAAGGAATAAAGCAGAACGAAGATAAATAGACAATAGGAGTGAGATGAAGTAAGTGTAGGCACCGGGAAAGCGGAAAAGAGGGAAGGAAGAATGACTACATCGGCAGGAAAAGGAGGGCAGCGACAGGAAAAGGAAGGAGCAAGGGGAAAATGCGAAGGTGGCATGAGAAGTGGGGACGGCTAGGCGAGGCTACAAGGAAAGCGGAGAAAGATGCAGGAATAGTTGAGAGTAAGCGAAGACAGTGGTAAGAAGCGTAAAAGAAAGTAGTGAAGAGTAGTTAAAGTGAGCAGGAGTTTAGCAGCAGAATAGAAGCAGCAGTGAATTGGAGACAAGCGAAGGTAAGTGCACTTCTAACACCAATACATAATATTTAGGGAACATAGAACAACATATAGGGACATAGGCCAAGAATGACAGGCCTAATCAAATTAATTAACAAACTAGGTAATTAAATTAATTAATAAATTGAATTAAGTTGACTAAATAAGTAATTAAGCTTAAGCAACGTCGCGAATAACGAATTGAGACAGCCTAAACGGCTCAACATGCACATCATAAGCTGTGAACTTTAGTAAATCAATAGTGGTTAAATGTCCCGCAAAATAAGATGTGATACAATTAAATTTAGGCAGTTAAATTCAACTTAAATTGAGCTAATCGAAATTTGATTCAATCCATTTGCGTCTCACACTGATTGATTGTATTCGGTGACACGGTCTTAGTTAAGGGTGCCGCAACATAATTCAGTTTAATTTTATGTAATTTAATCAAGCGGAATTCATTAAATTCACTAAATTTACTCAACCCAGCCTGGCTAAATTAAATTAAATTAGGTTTAAAACCGATTCAATACAGGCCGAAATGGATTCTAAGGTAATCCTTAATCTCAATCTCAATCCTAGCTTAAGTTACATGTATATTTTATTTATACTTACATATATAGGAACATATATTTATATCTATTTTGTATTCACAACAGAAATGGAGATGTTCAGCAAAATTAAAGGGTCCAAAACGCCAGGCAAGGAGGTGGCGAATATGATGGAGAGGATCCGAGAAAAATCAACGGACAGCTAAAAGAAAGCGAGCGCGCACAGAAGGAGAAAAAGGAAGAAGAAAGGATGCAGAGCGGGCCGAAAGGCGAAGGAAAGAAGAGAGGGAGACAGGAGGAGCAGGGAAAGGAAGATAAGATGAGGGCTAAAGGACGAAGGATCAGGGAAGAGGAGGAGGAAGAGGAGCTGGCCAGGTCGTTAATGGAAGCAGCGGAGGCAGTAGAAGAGGCTGAGGCATCAATGTGCCAGCTCGAGAAAGATTTTGAATGGGGAGAGGCGGAAATGCAAGAATTACCGCCGCCAACCACCAGCTCAACACCGACCCCAGGGATGGAGAAAGAGCTGGAAATGGGAAACAGGGCCAGCGAGGACAAGGAAAAGGAGCGTGCAACAAATGGCAAGAGGAGAGCTACTGCGCCAATAATAGTGGAGGACACACGACTGGACCACGGATCAGGCAAAGCAACGATTAGAAAGGTGGAGATGCTGCAGCCAGTGATCAAGATCATGCGATTAAGGACGGACGAAGGAAAAGTTAAAAGGGGCGAAGCTAACACAGGAGATAGGAAAGGAGAGACGGTAACGACGGGAATGAAGCAGGACGAAGAGGAAAGGTTGATTAAAATGATTAGGGAAATGAGGGCGGAATTTGAGAAAAACAAAGAGGTAGAGGGGAAACGGGGTAACGTTAGGGAAAGCGGAACGGGAGAGGAGCAAAGCGGAAGAGGAAAAGGTGCGGAGGGG